GTATATTGACTCTTGTGAATATGGGACTTAGGGTTTGGAGAGAAAGAAAACAGAGGCGGCAAAGAGTGAGCATACCACGCTTCTCTAATTCCATGTATATATGTGTATGTGAAAACGTATAAAAGACCATATACCCGTTTAGGGATATACTTCTTACAAGACTACCACTCATATATATACTAACATTCCCCTTACCCCTTAAGTTGGAGAATATATATTATTTAATCCCAAATTGGAACAAATATCTCTCAACCGAATATTACTTAAGGACTTAATAAACATATTAGCAAATTGATCTACAAATCTGACAAATGGTTTAATAATCTCCACGTAACACTTTTTCTCAAATCAAGTGGCAATTAACCTCAATGTGTTTGGTTTGATCTTGAAACAAATGATTAAAAGTTATATGAACAATGGTCTGAAAATCACAAAACAACTGAATCGAAGTTTGAGCTAAAAAATCAATTTCTTGAAAGTAAATGTTGTAACCATGCTAATTCACTATAGGTGTGAGCCATTGCAATGTACTCAACTTTTGCACTAGATCGTGCTACCATTATTTGCTTCTTACTCTTCCACGTGACCAAATTACATCTTCACAAAATATAATATCCTGTAGTAGATTGCCTATCTTAGGGAGAACCTGCCCAATTGGCATTTGTGAACCCCTCAACCGAAGGTGCCCATATAATTGATATAATTATCTAAGCTCGAGGTTTGCTTGAGATATTGGATAGTATGAATAACGTCATCCTAGTGGTCGGGTAATAGTGATATAATTCAACTTCACAACTAGGCAATAACATCGTCTAAGATGTGAGAAACATTCACCTTCAATCACTGAAAGTTTGGGAATTGGATCCATAGGGATATCAGCTAGTCGACCACCGAAGACTCGTGATGCACACATTTTCTTTAGGACAGGCTAATGAGTTATTTAGATCTAACAACTTCGATATAAAGAAAATATCTAAGTTTGCCTTCGATACCCACAATATCATCGCCTATAATCACAAACATAAACATAAACAACAAGAACAATATTACTTGCATGAGTTCATAAATAAAATACCAAATGATGAGTGTGGCATTTATGAAGACCAAAAATCTAATACTATCTGTGAAAATTTCACAAACTACACTCATAGGGACTGTGTCAGTCCATACAAGACTTGTTTCAATTTGCATACAATGTTTCTACCAGTGGTTGCTCCATGTTAACCTCTTTTGTCAAATCATCATATAGGAAAACGTTGTTGACAATTAACTCGAACAAAGATTATTCAAGCATAGCAGTAACCGAAATCAAAACCCTGATAGAAGAGATTTCAGCATATCTATTTTTAACCAAACAAGCTTTGAGATGGTCCACAAAGCCATATGGAATTCTGGATAAAATTTGGTTGCATATACCCAACAACGTACTTACAAGAAGGTAACGGGAGAAGATCCCAAGTTTGATTGTGATGGAGAGTTCCATTGTTGTCTTCCAACCCGGATCAAACAAGACATTTGTTAATTTCTTTGGGATAGACATAGTGGATAACTGAGGGGTGAAACAAGAAAATGAATGAAATAACAAATGAGAAGAAACAAATTTAGTGATAAAATGGTTAAACACAGAAGCAAGTACCTTTACAAAGAACAATAAGTAGAGATCCGATGTAGTTGATTATGCTAAGTATGTTTAATCCAAAGTCGACGAGGAAGCTGACGGTAAAGTTGTAGCATGTACCCTCAACCGACAAGTGTAAACATGGAGGGGTGTGGTAGAATAAAACAGAATGGGGAGATATCCCAAGGAAGACCGTGGAGGGTATCCGATTAATAAGATGAAAAGCAAACAAGATAGCATCACCCAAAAAAGAGGAAGGAACATGCATATGAAATAAGAATTGCCAGGTCACATCCAATAAATGACGATTATTTCTTTCAACAACACCATTTGGTTATGGTATATTAACACAGGAAGTCTAATGTATAATACCTTTTTGATTGAAGTAATTCTGAAAGAGATTAGATGTACAGTCTTAGGCATTTTCAGGTCATAAACATTAATGTTGTATCCAAATTTTGCCTTAATAAGCTCACGAGATAACTGAAAGATAGAAAACAATTTTGAGGGAGATTTTAGAAAAAATTACCATTTCATAGGAGAATGACCATCTACAAATGTCACAAAATAATGAAATCCATTAACAGAAGAATTGTTGGGGGACCTCATACATCGGAGTGATCTAATTTAAAAGGGACAGAGATCTGATTATCAATCATAGGTTTAAATGGCACCCAATGGTGCTCACTAAGTTGACATGCTTCACAAGACAGGGATGACACGCGTCTAAGATGAGAAATTTGAGACTTCAAAACTAGAAGAAACAGAAGTCCAAGATAGCAATGGCAGTGCAGCGGGGATGGAGATGGTGAGATCTATAAGGCTTTGGGAGTAGGCTCGAAATTAATGTAATAGAGACTTACTAATTTATGCCCCAAATCAATCTTCTTCTTCTTCTTCGTCGTCTTGAGATTTTGATAGAAACAATCTAAAAGATAAAATATTATTGAGCAGTTAACAGATCCAGTGATCTTGTTAATAAATAGCAAACTAAAACGAACTTGGGAACAAACAAAACAGACGAGAAGGATACTAAGGGACTAAATTGTGTAGTACCAAACGTGAGACCTTGGATGATGAGCCATGAGTGAGTGTAATGGTTCGAGATCGGGCATACAAGGTGAAAATTAGAGTAACCAGAAGAGCTTGTCATACAATCTCCATAATGAATGACCCATGGGCTGGAAGTGGGAGATAGCAAACAAGTAGATGCTGTACCTGACTGAGCAGACGTAGCAATGGAAGAAGACATGACCTATGTATGGTACATGAATTGAGCATACTCATGCCGAGAGATAGTAATAAGATCAGTAGCAAGAGGCTGAGTGGGTCCATAGGTGGAACCGGGGTAGGACCATCTTCTTGATAAGAAGCCTTATGAGCATAAAATGATTGTTTACTATGCAAGTTCCAACAATAATCAATGTATGATTCTTTTGACAACAATGAGTATATTTGCAAGTGTCACAATCACCTCTATCAGCACAACCTCTACAAGAACCACCAGTTCCACAACGGATGCCACGTCCTCCCTTTATCACAGCAACCTCCACGAGGGCCGTCAATTCCTATCTCTCTTAGAGAATTGAAAAGCTAAATGATCACCACTTTGCTTAATATTCACTCAAGGCAGCTCTCTGAAAAGAGGAGAATACATCTAGAAGGGCTACCTAAAATCTCTGCATGGATGGACTCATACTTTGGTTTTAGCCCGACTAAAAATCGGACTACATCAAGATTGTCACGTTGCTGCGCAGACATAAAATCGTAGAAGAGAAGGACTGATACATCTTAAGTTATTCACAAACCCCTCAAACCTTGGAAAAGTACTTCTCGAGGCTCAAACTACCTTGTTCTAGACCCAAATACTATATATGCACCTCATAAATACGTGTGAGATTACTCTTACCAGAGTACATTTAGGTTAATTGATCCTAGATCTCTTTGGCATTGTTGAGATAAAGCAAGGTAGAGCTGATATGAGGCTGAGTGCTATTTAGTATGACTGAAATAATTTGCACATCTTCTTGCTCCCATTAGGCGAAACCAAGGCATTGTCTTTTGGTTTGGCTTCCACCAAATGCTTACATAGATCTTTACCCTTAAGAAAGACTTTAACAGGCCCATCCATGAGACATAATTACTACCATTTAATTTAATTGAGGTCATGGGAGCATTAAAAAAAGGGGCAGAAAAAGTTTGGTGAAAGAGTTGGAGGATCTGTTGGACCTACCTTAGAATCCATTCCCATAAGAAATGATACCCAAACAAAACTGAGTATGTGCGGGACAAGATGACCCTGTGCAGATTAGGAGAAACCAGGACTGGACAAGAAGAAACTAATGCGTATCAAGCCTAAACCGGACTAAGAAAAACTCCTAAAGTCTGAACCGGACTAACATAGATTTGCTGGAATATAAACTGGAATAGTAGGGTGCCGAACTGGTTGAGAAGAAGCCTTCTGGGGCTGAACCAACGGAGAAAAGTCCTGTAGTGGACTGAAGTCGATCAAAAGAAGGGTGCAGGGGCCTGAACCGGCAGAGAAAATGATTGTACTGAAGTGAACAAGTCTAGACCTAACTGCAGTGCGCCTGAACCGGCCTGAACAAACTGCCTTGGACCTCGAATGAATCAGGATTGAGCCTTAGACCTGAGCCTTTCTAAATTACTAATTAGTAATTCAAGGGGGCTGAGCTTAGTGGGTTAAGTAAATTTAGCCCATACCACAATGAATCCGGATGAGGTATCCAGTGAGGAGATATGCTAAACCTGAAGAGGGCTAATTCTCTTAGTGGCCAAACAACGTTGTCATCTTCACCACTTACGATTGCAATGCTACAGATGTTGCCACTGGAGAGAAGCAACACAACCACGACACCCACAGCTGATTCAACTTACAAAACCACAACTCAACCACAAAGATTCACCAACCAGTGGAAGTCAAGGAGCAAACAGAAGTCGATTGCATTAGTGCGATCAACGCTGCAACAACTCTAAAACAGATCTCAAAATCCAAGGATCATCACATGCTGTTGTCGATTTCTGTCAATAGATGAACGAAGGAAGGGGAACAAAAAAAAGAAAAGAAGGAAGGAAGGAGAGAAAAGAAAGAGTATGGGATTTTGTGTGAGTCGATTAAGAAGGCTCTGATCGGCATTCCTCAAATCCTAAGTAGCTCATTAGTCACTCTACAATCCTCCATGTCAGTTCTCCCATTTCCACCTTCATAAATCCAAAAAAGTCCCCTCCGATAATTCTCTAAATTCATATGGCAGTCGCAATACCCATATTAGGTGGATCATGGTGCAGAAACCAAGGCCTGAAATGAATATAATATTCTATGGCTTCTCACCCCCTCGTCACTTAAAGTTAGGATTTGGAGATGAAGAAAACAGAGGAGGCAAAGAGACAGCATACCACGCCCTTCTCCCTCCATGTATACTTTCCTTTAGGGATATACTTATTACTGGACTACCACTCCTATATATATCCTAACAACTCTAAAAGTCCACAATTGGTTTTGTCACATACTTACATATGAAACTTTTGACCGCGTTATATCCAAGTTATACATGCTCCATCTTATTATGCAAGCTGGGTTGTGCTTGGACTGGTACTTCATACAAACCAATTTGACATTTTTACTATACTGAATGAAAAATCCATCATAGGTCTCAAATTTTGAAAAACAATTTAAAATTTTAGCTAATCTGTTTATTGGGCCTTTTTATTCACAACAAGTTTGAAAGGTTTCATTATCTCGTGTACCAACTTGAGACGAGAAAAGCTCATTTATGTTTTGATACCGAAGAATACTGCATACACTAGCATGCACGAGCATTTAGCATAGATGTTTAACTGGAGCCAACTTTAGAACCTTGAAATGCATGTAGATATATTTATCACCGTGGACATCTGGAATCATTTCAATAAACGAAATTCTATGAAAAATTGCCGAGTCTATGGTATGTATAACATGACGTGACATGTTTGTATGCATTTTTGTTAGTCGTTGTTATTTGTCACAAATTCTTATATCCTTTTTTCCATTCCTATCCTAAAGATAATGAAATCAGAGAAGAATATCACACTCTCGTTCAACACTGTTCCTTTCTTTATTCACTCTTAATTACAGGGTGGATGGGAAAATGATGAAACAGTGGAGGAGGCAGCTGTACGTGAAGCTATAGAAGAGGCTGGGGTTCGAGGGGAATTAATGGTAAGAAGAAGCAGTCTTCTGATTTTTTTGTGTGTTTGTAAATTCTGGATTAATACTCATCGTTTAGCTGGTTGCTTGCTTTAATGCTTAGATCATGAAATGTTTATCTTGTTAGTCAAGTGCTTGAACTTTGTGTTGATTGTATCGCTCATGTGCAGGAGCACCCATACACTTTCCATGTATCCGAGCTATGCATAAATCAGATTAAAGTTGCTTATGTTTTGTGTATAGATTGCTTTCTTCTCTGTAACAATAAATGTACGTTTTGAAATGCTGCAATCACAATCCTAAAAGTAAAAGGATGAGATGTGCATATAAATTTCATCTAAGGCATCTATGACCAAAAAAAGTCATAATATAGAAGAAATCGGAATAGAACATAACCTAAAATATTGTCCCAATTCATAACTCAAAAATTGATCCGTATTAATGTGTGAGACAAAAGAATTGAACAAGCTTGCTTGATGAGGATCAGAAAGGTGTTGGATGAAGCTTAGAGTTGAATATTAAGGGTTTTGAAATTATTTTACTACTGTTGTATATGCAAGGTTTATTGGATTTCGTTTACTAGTTTAGGCTTTGTGTTTAACTTAGAAATGGAATCACATTAGGGTCCGCTTGATTAGAAAGAGAAGAATTGTGGAAAGTAGAAGTAGTAGAAAAGAAAGGAAAAAGAAAAGAAAAGATATTATCTTTCATGTATTTGGTTAGCATGAAAATTTTGAAAGAATTTTTTTAAAAAAAATTCATTCTATTGGTCGAAAGATAGTAAAGTTGATAGAAAATTTTGAGAATTGTCTCAAAAAATCCTTATCTATATTAAAAAAGATGCTGAACTTGAAAGATTGTGCATTTATCCACCTTTTATTATATAATAAATAAATATCAAATATTATTAATGTAGAAGCAATGCATGGTTGACACATCACCATTTTTATCTCTTCAAATAGAGATGTTAAAATTTAGAAAGTGAAGTAAAAGAAAAAAAAAATGAAAGAAAATATATTTTCATGCATGTATTCTATTGTTTAAAAGAAAAGAAAGTTATAAAAAATTTATTTAATTATTTAACTTACCCTTAATTATATTAAATCGATCTAAATAAAAAAATATACTATAATTAAATTACCCTTAATTATATTAAATCAAGTTTAGATTTGTTGAGGGCTTTTTGTTTTTTTGTTCCCTAGTTAGTGCAATTGTTCAATTTGATATCCATATATGGGAAATGATATGATTATGGGCAAAAGGGTTAAGTATGAGTAGTAGCCCACATTTTCACAGGAAAGTTTCCCTGTTAATTTTGCAGGAAATCAAAAGTGTCATAAATAATAAAATTTAGTGGGCCCCATGATCTCACTTTGCTATAATTTCTCCTTTTTTCTTGCTAAACAAACAAAAAAAAGTTCTATTTTTTTTCCTTTCTTGTGTTTTTTAGTATTTACTAGCTAACCAAACGAACCCTTAGGAATGTTTGATTTTTAGAGTAAACCAGGGGTGGCCATTCCAAGTTCCTTTTCTCAGTTTTCTTCCCAAAACTGGACAGATTTTTGTGGGCGGGATGGATTACATTTCCATCACTTCTTCCTTTCCAACATATTTTCCCTTGAGACTAAACAATTGAAAATCCTTCCTTCGCTCTAATTTTTCACCCTCCCTTTTCCATCCACCCATCTTCCTTCCTACTAAACAACCCATCTTCCTTCCTCCCTTGGCTCTAAATGTTTCTGCCCTGCTGCATATATATTAACCATGCCAATGTCTTGTTGAGATGCAGAAGTTTTATTTTAAATCAATCCAAGCATCAACATTAGTAGTTTAATGTGCCAATAAAGTTGAACATTTTTTCTGTGATCGATTACCTTCTCAGCATTCTTTTATTGTCTTCTCTTTCCTGTTTTTCCCCGATATGTTTGACCTTTATAGCAGGTTTTCTAGTCATGCTGCTGATGCACAATGAATAAGTCATCTTTCTGTATTTTTATTACCTATTTAACTTGCTGCCATTTCATTGTTGACATTTACACTATTCTGCATTTCAGCATTTCCTGGGTTACTACCAATTCAAGAGCAGGACGCTTCAAGATGAGTTTAGTCCTGAAGGTTTATGTAAAGCTGCCATGTTTGCTTTGCTTGTCAAGGAAGAACTCGAGTCTTGGCCAGAACAGGATCATCGCCAAAGAAGTTGGTTAACAGTTCCTGAGGCTAGTGAGTGTTGTCGGCATGCATGGATGCGAGAGGCCCTTGAGGAAGGTTTTTCGAAGTGGCATGCCGATGGCATGATAAGCACCATAAAGTAAGACAATCATCTTGCTTCCTCCTCTCCTGACCAGCATTTGATTAGTTGCTAGATGCTTTACCAAAAATGGTGCCTGAAGTTGATTTTGGGGCCTTTCTAATTCTTTTTTTCTGGGAAGGAGGTAAACAAAAAAAAGTTGTGCTGTTTTAGATGTTCAATTATGTTTCAATCAGAACCTTGGGTTCGTTTGTTCATTTCTTTCTTTCTTTTTTTCCCTCTTCTGGAAAATAGAGAATTAATGGAAGAAAAAGGAAAGGAAATTCATGAACAGTTGCCATTATGTTACTGACTAATGTTTTTTCAAGTCAGTCAGCATTACAATTTTAGAAATCTCCTTTGCTTTTTCATCTTTTTGGCAATGCCCATAAGGTGCTAAAATATAGTTTCATCGGATTGAGAATTTGCCCAAAATGTGAGTGGGGTTTGTTTTTAATTCTGATGCAAGAGTGAACTAGTCCATGTGTAGATCAATTTTATGTGGAAATAGCATTATAGGTGTAAATGTAATAGCTCACCAATCTGCATTTTGCTCTTCAATTTGTACCGAGTTGATTGAATTCATTGTAGGTATTGATTTGTGAAATTTCAATGGTGGAGAAAAGGGGTCATTTACAGTACAATGGGTGGGGGATGTGGCCTGGCTCATTGGCTGTGCATAGGAACAAGGACAGTAACCTCACTCTGTTGAGCTTGATGGTTAGCTATATCAATTTTAATCATATTTGTAGGTATTTTTATCACTGTTGTAGTACCGAAAAAAGTGATAAAAATAGTTACCATAACAGTAATAAAAACATCCACAAATGTGATTTTTTTTTAAATTTTTTTACCAACAAATGTGATAAATCACTAATAAAAGTGATAAATTTTTTAGTTATAAAATAATACACAAAAGTTATAAAAACATTCATTAAGTAGTAAAATTTGGAGAAACGATATCATAGTGAAATCCAATATTGTAAGCACATTTGTTGGATTTTTTTTTTATTGGGAAGATGGTCGTTGACAAATCATTAGGTTATGATATTAAGTTATAATGATGTATAAATTGGGTTTATACAACACATGTCAATTGAATAGTAAAAATGCAGTAATTGATAAGTGAGAGATAGAGACAAAATCAAGATAAGATTTATAGTGGTTCAGTCAACTTAACTTACGTCCACTTTGAATGACTAGGATCGTCGGGTATTTTATTAACTCAAGTGTGTAGAGAGAGCAGAGAGTTACAAGCTATGAGAGGGCGAGTAGAGATATGCTTGAATGAGTGTAATGCTCTCTAAGTGTTGGCGGGGCTTATATTTTATAGTCGTCTCATAACACATAGTAATTGAATAGTTAGTCTAACGGTTATAACAGATTAGGGTGATTTATTAATAATTAATAGCTGATTCGGCGGAGGTGGTGACTTCTTTACAACGGGTGAGACAGTTACAATACTCTCCATATGACTCGGTCAATGGATGAGATGAAGGTTGACTCTTTTCAAGGCGGTTAGGAAGAGACTCTTAAATGACCCTTACTCTAAAGTGGTTAGGAGGAGACTCTTGGATGACACTTACTCCAAAGTGGCTAGGAGGAAGCTCTTGAATGACCTTGCGTGCTCCCTGCTGATGTAGCTCCTTGAGCTTGACCAAGTTGACCATATTGGGCTAGACTTGGGAGATCTTTTGGAGTTAGGCCTTTAACTCAGACCAGACTTATAACATGAGTTGGGCCTTTATATTTAACCCACCAAGTTAGATGATTAGGTCTCGTATTAATTAAGTAATTCTATCCCTTCTTCATTCTTAGACATTGTTTCTTAATGTTATGACTCTTCCAAAGATGTGCCTCAGGAACTCTTTTTTTAATACAGTAATCGTTTTCTGATCGTTGGTCAATAAAAAACAATTAAATCTCGGGCATTACCTAAATGGGTTCATTTTTTCTAGAAGCTAAAATTATAAACAATACTCCTATTACCAAATTTCTTATCAAATTTTACTTATAAAATCAATAAAAATTGTTGAATCAATAAGTGCCATTTACTTTTGTCAGTCGGATCCACTGATTCACTCATCTATGTTCATTTATTAAAAATTTTAGTTTACACATAGTCAAGTTCATACTTAACCATGGGAAACTTAGGATTATAACAGAAAAGTAGCTGAATTTATTCCTGGTGATCTAGTGTCTTAGGAAATGTTGATTGATTGATTCCCTATTTGCTTGAAGAATAGGGTTGTCCAAGCTTCTTATTCCTCTCCTTCATGCTAGTTTGCAATAAAAATTCTATTTATTTATGATTAAAAAATATTAAAAATGAATCTTTACAGCCTAATGTAAACTATTTGATAATAAACAATGTTATTAAAACTTAAAAATTTAACATAATTTTTTGGCATAATGATGTAGCGGTTAAGATGGTCTATTTGTATTTTTTGTAACTCTCTAGTATTTGACTTCTTTACTAGCATATCATTTAACACATCATTAAATTATGATAATATGTCATATTTTTAGATTTAAAAAGTATTACTATTCCATAACAATGGATATAACACCCCTCCCCCTTCCTTTCTTATGTGTAGTCATATTTTCAGATCATATGTCCAAGTTTGGCTCGATTCAGCCCATTTTAATTCTCTGAGCTTCAATTTAATCTCAAATTCTAGTAAATCCAAGAGACAAACCCTCAATCACTTGATTAGAAGTCCAATTTCCTTAGGTTTAAAAACATATTTTTTTGTTATAAAATAAATTGACCAAGCTTGAGCATTTACTAATATTAAACGATCTTAAAAATGTGATTATATTTAGTCCATTTTCGAGAACAAATAACATTACACAAGCTCCTTCCCAAGGTTTAAATGAGTCAAAATTTGGCTTGTCAATCGTGTCGGGTGAGATGAATTTCTGTCAAATCTTAGTAGGTTCGTGTTAAAAAACACTCTATCCATACCCGATTCGTTTATTAAATTGTGTCTAATGAATGATATGAGTTCGTATCGTTTATAAATCGTGTATAACTGATATATAAATGAATAGTATTATATATTTCTTTTGATTGATTTCACACATACTTAATTCTTTTATTAATCATGTCGTGTTAAGTCTATCCGTTTAATAAATGAATGACTTAAAAAAAATACTCAACTCTCTAATTTTATATTATTTTCACGTCATATTAACGTATTTTTATCATATTTGACATTCCTGGTCAAAAAAAGAACTAAGTCCATGCCTAACATGGGCAGCTCACTAGCCATCATGGGGCACAGGTCATACAGCTACTTGGCTACTTGGCTACTTTAGTTCACGTTCAGTGTCCCTGACCCAAGAGATAGAGATGGTTGAGTAAGGCACTGTCTTTTAACTATCTGATGATCATAACAAGCCAAAGCCTCGAAAGTGAACCATATAAAGTATATAAAAAAAAGACAAAATCTAATGAATGTCAAAAGCTTCATCCTCTTACGTTGCCTATCAAGTTGGCAACTATACAAATTCACGGGCAACTAAAGTTAAACATGTGTCCTTTGGACACATTGTTAAATACAGGAGTTGCTCTATCATTCATCTAAGGTACCTTTGCCAGCTCTGCACCACTTTATCTCAAGGTATAGCTTACAGTACGCCGACAATTTCAGACAAACTCGACGTAAAATTAATACGAAAAAATTAGTGAGTTTGAATTTAGTTGCAGTTGGATTTGGATATTAAATAACTTGACCCGTTAGATTGTTATTACTTTTATTAGTGTTTTTTTATCAATGTTGTTGATATTTTTATCACTGTTATGATAATTATTTTTATCATTTTTGTAGATAATTTATCACTTTTGTGGATATTTGATACCATAACAATGATAAAAATACTCGTAACAATAATAAAACTACTCACAAATACAATATATATCCATACAATACCGAAATTCTTTTTTGCGGTACCATGGGCAACTCCGTATTCTAAATATCTTCCAGTATCTTTATAATATGAGGAGTCATCTCCTGTCTTGAAAGACACCAATTACAATCGTAAAATTAGGTTTGGTTTCCGACACCTTCCATGGACTATCAATTTCTATAGAATAATTATTTAAACTTACAAATGTGATTTAATTTATTAATGATACGGTTTTATAGAACCAACCAATCAACACTAAGTTCTAATTTTAAATGAAACCTACAGTTAGTTTAAAGACTTGGACTTTGGTCATTCCTTGATAATTATTTCTCCATCGTCACCTAGATGTGATGCTTGGTTTTCAAGGTAAGGTATGTGTGGGCTACAGCTATTTCTTTTGTGGGAACCCTTATGATTCATTTTTACTTGTTTCTATAGCAACAAATATGTTTATATTAAAACTTGGAGGGTTTTATTCATAATATTTAGAAGATTTGGAAGTTCTAGGGTTCAGTTAAATATGCAGGATAGATTTGGGATTGATTTGCTTGATGAAACTATGGGGATAAATGTTGCTGTTTTTTATATTCATCAATTGATTACCATTACAATAAACAATTAATTATTTCTTAGAGAAATATTACAACAGAGAAGTGAAAAGAAGTCCAAAAGGAGATAGAAAGAAGGGTCACGAGAAATAAATCTTTGTTTTTGACAAATATTAATTTGATGACCAACTAGGCTATAGTCAATTGATTTTTTTGGGAACAATTCAAAATTTTGAGAAGATGTGGGAGGATTTTGATGTCTAATTTTTGTATCCTATTCTGTGTTTCTTAAATGAAACACACTGTAGCCATTGAAAGGCAAGGAGAGGAGTGAACATTGCAGGCAACCACTGCTTAAATGCAAGCAAAACAAAAGCAAAAGGACCATTGTGCAGTGACTGAAGTTGCCAGTATAAAGAGGATTGAATTAGGTCCTGGAATTACCTTGACAAAGGAGAGTGAACTACATGAAAGCTATGCACTTGCCTTTTGCTCCATTCTTTGGTGTAATTTCATCTTCTTAGGCTTTGAAACTTGAACACCCTAGAATTAGATTATAGAAAATTTAAATCTCTATTTACATTCACCCCAAAAAAAAAAATAATAATAATGCTCTATTTCACCAAATCCATTAATTTATAAGAAAAAAATCGCCGAGTTTACAATTATATTTTTTCCCAAAATAAACATGTAGAGCTGTTTATACTTAGTTTTAATAAAAATGACCGAGACAAATTAATGACTATTTTCTGCAAATGAAGAAGCAATAGATTGCAGTAGAGGCCTATTTTCTGATGCATGTATGCATACATGTAGGGTTAGAGACAGACTAGTGTGAGATGCATGCATGTTATAAGTTAGCCTCTGCCACAAGTACCTGAATGATTGAACTTTCATCCTCCTCAGAGAGGAAATTACCATCTTTAAGAAGATTTGCAGTCTAGGAAATGAAAAAAGGAAAGCATAAAAAATTCAAAATTTGAAGAGTTCAAAAAAAAAAATGACCCAGAACAAGGCTAAAGCTGCTACACATTTTAAGTACCAAATAAATTGGGAAAGATGGATGACTCATAAATAAGTAATTGTAACCTTGTCTAGATTCACATATAATGAAGCGACCATTCCCTTGGACATAGATAAAATTTCTAGCAAACCATCAAGTAAATCTTTGTGTTTATTCACTACAACATGTTCACAATACCTTTCCTCCTAGAGGACCCTTCTGTTTGTACTTATGTGAGGAACACTGTGTTGGGTCTCCGATTTTGCACTTTTAGCCCTCTTCTGTCCAATTTCAGACTACAATAGTTGGTAGGTCATCTTTAAAATCCAGATAAAGAGTGTGCAAAGTCAAATGTTTCCAAACACACCCTACATCTTGACTGGCAAAATGCCCAGCAAATGCTTACTAGCAGCCCTAGCTCACAGAGTTTACATCTAGAACAAATACAATATCAAGATAGGAACAGAGATAAGTAATTACATAGTAAATGGTCATCAACACTTACCCACATAAGCAAAGTGAGCACAGTCTAAAAAACTAGGTAGCTCTCGCGTATTCGATGAATATCAAATCTAACATGATCTGATACGAATACTTCGATTTAAACGGAAGATTTGTGCTTCATATAGCTAGCAAAGCTTACCCAATTTACATTGCATCTAGGCTTTTGAGCACATCAACATGAGAAGATTCACACCACATGTTAGAGGGAAATATTCCAGGAAAATTCTCTATAATCTGAGGCATAAACACATCATCATCATCATAAGGCTCACATGAAAGATCAGATTTCTTAGCCAATTCACCACAAGGGTTCATTGTAGGAACTTCATGTACTGCTTGATCTCCAGGGCCCTCAGGGACTTCTTGGTGGTGGTGGTCATCGGAACCGACACCACCAATCTCCGGGAACCTAGCAGGGTCGGGCATGTCGGCGTCTTGGCCTGTGAGTTCTTGAACCAAAGCTCTGAATTCTGAGGCACTGGTCTTCACCTTCATGGGATTGGAGATGTACACAACCTTGACTGGTTTTTTCTTGGTTTTGGCCTGTTTGGCTGCCCTTTTTTGTTGTACACTAAGTAGGTTATCCATATCTCTTTAGATGGAAATGAAGCTTAAGATCAAAAGGGTTCACTTCTATATGAAGCAATTCGGTGCTGGGAAGTTCTTATGGGTTTTGCGGATATGGTTTTGAGGAGAGAACGGTGATATCATGTCACAACCAATAATAAATTTTAAATAAAATAAATGAATATTATTAGAACTTACTTGATAGAAGGGTGTGATGGAAAGTTATTAGTTTACGCGACAGTTTACTTCTAAATTTTTATAGGATATGTCTTTTTATTTATTTTAATATCATTAATTAGTGATATTATATTATTTTATCACGGAATATCCCATTACAATGAATATTTTTTAGAAAGAGAAGAGAAGGGGAAATAAAAGCCGCCATGATAGAGCAAATGAAAAGAAGAGAGAAATATTGCTGGCCCAAGCTCAAAGAGGCGCGTGCGGTTTAAGTATTTAACATAATGATACTCTCACTATTCTCTCTATCATTCTATGTATGCTTGTAAGAAGATAAGAATTAATACAAGTAACCATCGGATAATTGGTTTTGTAGTACTCTTTTATCTTTCCAAAGTTTAGTTTTCATCAAGTTAATGGTTCAAATCTCTTGGGCGACAAAAGTTTAGTTCGTTTATAGAATGAACTTTAATCATTTAGACAAATCATATCTAATTCTCTGGTATAAATTTGAATTCCTACCGAAGCCTAAGTTCTAATTTAACTGGTGTATAGTTTGAGGAATCAGTTCAGGTACTTGGAATTTATTCTCAATTCTACTCGGACTCACGAACTTGCGTGAATAAGTTATCTCTATCTCGCCGAGGACAAGTGAATGAGTTCTCCCTTCATCCAAAAATTAAAAAAAAAAAAGAAAAGAATTGACGTAAGTATCATTAAAAAAATTATTATTTGAACTTAATTTAGAGATCTAATAAATTATAACTGTTGGATTAAAAGTGCATTTCACCTAATATTAAAACACACAATTAATCTAATAACGACATTAAATTACGTTTTCAAATTAAAGAGTCGTTTGGTAACGTTTTTGTTTTCGCATCTTGAAAAAAATTAAAAACAGAGAAATTTTTTTTTTTGTTTTGTGATAAACACCAAAACTGAAAATATGTTTGAGAGTTGTTTTTGTTTATCAAATTATGAGAATAAAAACAAAAATATGTTTGGTAACGAATTCAAATATTATCCTAAATATATTCGTATCTATTTGGCAATTAAATTCCAAATCAACACAACACACACGTGCGTACACACACACACATGCACTGATCTGTGCATTAAGGTCGTGGTAAGAGGCAAAATGGGAAAAAGGAAGTAGTAGATTTGAGAACCATGCTTATTCATTGTGCACAGGTTGTTGCAGCTGATGATCATAAGACTATAAATGAATTGCTAAAATAAATTAGGCAGCATTTTTAACTTTTTGGTGATGGGAATCAAAGATCGGCTCATTGCTTTGCTTGCCAATGGCAACCTGATCTTCTTCCTCAGAGTGGAGGTCATGGCTTGAAGGCAATCACCTCATCCTCTTCTTCACCTTTTAGGCACAAATTTGTGTATATATGCACAACTTTTGAGTTTCACAAAGAAGAGGGAGAGAGGAGAGAGGAGAGAGAGAGAGACAGAGAAAGAAGCGATGCGAGGAGAGAGGAATGAAATGAGTTTTTATACTTCTACAAAAAAAAGTCTTATTTTGCTGTTAAAAGGAGTCAAAATCTGGATCTCATTAATTCCTAAGCTTGTTTCGCATGTTGTCTTTGTTTTTGGTGTTTCCTAAAACATTTTATTTTCTATTTTTTTGTCTTTGTTTTCAAACTACTAATCTAAAACAAAAACAAAAACAGTACTCAAACATATTTTTGTTTTCATCTTTGACAAAAATTAGAAACAAAAACAGAAAACGCAAGACAAAGACAGTTTCCAAACAATCCCTAAATCTCTATAGAATTGTTTTAATGATATTTTATTTTGAGCAATGCTATTGGGACATAAATTATTGATATAATTTGTTGACTTAATTTATTATAATATTTGGATTGACTGTGAGATCCATCAAATATTAGAATTTGGTATTGATCTAATGATTATATTAAAGCCACATTATTATGTCAATAAATTAAATCAAATTTTGAGGTCTAAATAATATTACTCATTTATTTTTCATCGTTATTATGACCTTGATTCCCAAAAACCAATGAAGAGATAGGTTTCAACTTTCATTATCATTGTTGTAAACTATGAGCCTAGGATTTGACTAGGATACCCCAATAAAATTTTGGTACAATATCTCTAAAATTTATTATTTTAAAAAATATTTTTATAATTTTTGTGAATCATTTTATTATAAAGTGGTTATTTTACCATTTTTATGGGTGCTTTTGCCATTGTTGTAAGTATTTTTATCACATTTATAGTAACTATTTTTATCAATTTTTTAAAGTACAGAAAAAATTATCATTTTTGTGGGTATTTTTATCACATTTAAGATACTTTTACTATTGTTGTGGTAACTATTTTTACCCCTTTTTTTGGAACCACAATAATGGTAAAAGTATCCACAAATATAATAAAAATAAATACAAATATAATAAATGGAGGTATGGTTTAAAAAAAAAAAATTTCAATACCGTACTCAAATCAATGAGTTCGTGTTGTGTCAACTGGTTCTTACGATTAGTAAGTTGGGTTGTATTAAAATTTAGTTAATACATAATCGTTTATAGTTGTATATTGTCGCCTTAATGCCACGTATAGTTCATAAATAGTTATGTGTAATTGAGTTTGTATTATTTGTATAATTAGGTTCGCATTGACTTTTTTATTAAGTGGGGTACAATCAATTAACCCGAGTTTGATCCAATTCTATTACAACTAAATAATATATATTATAATTTTTTATTAATTTCGTCTCCGGTTCATAATTAAATTTAAGAATTGATAGCTCTAGCCATGATAAAAAACGATGCATTATGTGCCATGCAACTTTCTATTTTCTCCATTTTTAGGAAATTAATTTCAGCTTATTGAGAAATTAAGTTGATCATTTCGTTTGAAGGAACTAAGGTATAAAAGCATTTTCCAGTCAATATAATATGGATAAATATAAAGGTTTGATTAACATACTTTTTTTATTAATTGGAATATGAATAACAGTGCTATGGTTATCTAATCAAGCATATCGTATTTGATGTCAATCCTACTGCAAGTGATTCTTATCCTATATAGAATCGAGTACAAAACGTGACTAAACAATGAACCTCGTCTTATCTTTTATGTTATGGAGCATGGAAGGACGGAGTCTCATTCAATTCTCTCTAATAGTTTGAATGGATCTACATTTAGCCGTTTTCCACTCACCAAAAGGCAGAGTGTGAAATTGCAAACCATCGGACCTACTGCATATACAGGGTGTCAAATTTTTGCTTAACTTTATTTTAATTTTGAATTTTTTATTGGAAATTTAAATGAGATTTATTACATTTAAGTGACTTCATTCATGTTTGGTAGTCTCACAATGAAAAATTAAAGGGAAAACAATATTTTAAGGGATATAAAACTTGTGTTCATTGAACCAACTCTATACCTTCGATACGAAACTAACACGATATAATTTTAAAATTATTAAATATGTGTATTAAAATAGTTTAAATTAATATTTGACATTTTAAATATACTAAATATATTTTTATTTTGTAGGTCTTGACACAAACATAATATAAATAATAATGTCACGACATAAAAATACCGGTACGCAGGTGACACGACAAGGTACAAAACATTTTTACAGAAAAAAAAAAAAAAAAAAAAAAAAGGGGAAGGCCATCTTCGTGTCTCTTAGGGCAAGGTACACGCGTGGGAAAAGAAAAAATATTTTGCAAGGTCGCGTTACCATCAGTGTATAAGTAAATTGCCACGTGGCAATCAGAAGCCTAGTGTGATGCCATGACGTCACGCTTACCGGAGCTGATGACGTAATTATCTTTCCTTCGCTTCCCGTGTTGAGTTGATTTGAATAGTATTGGCTCGGCTGAAATGGCTGCTCTCGTAGTGGTCAGGAACACCACAGATTATTGGCCCTTCCTGATGCGGACTCTATCATTAAAAAAAATTTGAATATTAATGGTATAATATTTATATTTTAAATAATTTATTTTTTTATTTAGTTATAAATAAATTAAAATAAACATTGAGAAAATAAGAGACAGAAGAGAAAGGTAAATAAGAATTAACGGGATTGTCTGATATTGAATAGTATATTAATTGAGTTATCAGGTGTTATGAAAAAATATGATATTTTTTCAGTAAATTTTTTTTTGGAATGAATTTTGTTTGATACAAATTATACCGTTATATGAGAAACAACTCTTATGTCTTTTTTGGTGTAATTATGCAGAAGATGTATGAAATAACTTATTTTTTTTACCTTTATAGTGTACATGATCTAAGATTTGTCAATATATCAAATTTGAATAGAATTTTGATAGAAGACAAATGAATTGACCACTTTTTTTTTCTTTTTCATCGTATACAAAGATTAGATTTATCAATGAATTAGATTCCATCAGAATTTTAATGGATCTTGATGGTACACAAAATATGTTTATGCAAAATCAACAGTTGAGTTGATTCGATTCGGGTGACCTACTCCACTTTAAGAAACGACAACGGTGGCCGAGAGATCTTTATTGATAAAGTAAGATGACAAAGAGAGTAAATGTTAACTCCGGAAGAGGTACAATAGATAAGAGAGATAAAAGTTATGTATGAGGTGTGTAGAGAGATGTTTGAGATGCTCCTCTCAATGGAGAAAACTTACAATTTATACGCACAAAACCTTAGTTGAGACGATGACTTGAGGGTACATATATTATTTATTCGGGAGCTACAAAAGGTAAATACAATTAAAGGTTGTCTTAATCTTCAAAAGTGAGTATCCCGCTCCCCACATGGTTTAGCCTTCTTAGATTCCTTGGACCTTCGACTAGGTCAAATTTACGAATTGT